TATAACGATCGTCCCAACAATCAAAAAAATTTCAAGACATAGATTAATCATTACTAAGTAATGGAATATACGTTCACCACTATATTTATATAGAAATTAAGATATGAAGAGAAAATTTGAATGAATTTAGAAAGTAATCAAATTTTAACTTGACATTTAAACAAATCTCATTTCTGAATATCTAAGTTTGATGCACAAATCAAAGAATTAAAAACATAAAATTACCTCCAGTTTGCATCTTTGAAATGAAATCGGATGCGAATAAAAAAAAAATGCACTATCTACAATATGAATGAAATAACCTAGCTACGGCGATATGCATTGCCGTCGGATAAGTATCATTCGATGATTGTGACATGTTCACATGATCATTCGGATGCACTGGCTTTTTGGATCCCAATTCACCGCCCAACATTTCAATTGCGCGATTCGATATCACTTCATTGACGTTCATGTTCGACTGCGTACCGGATCCGGTTTGCCAAATCACCAATGGAAAATGATCGTCCAGCTTGCCCGCGATAACTTCATCTATGATAATTTAACAATAATTGACAGGAGGAAAAAGTAAATGAATACCCTGAAAAGCAACAAAGTCTTGCTAAATTTAACAGTTTAATGTCCAGAACTGTGCAAAAAATCCCAATTGATAGATCGAAGTGAAGACGACTTTTGGCAAACTGCCTATTTAATTCAAAGATAGTAGATGAAACTGTTCGCCAGATGATAGACAGATTACTGGTTATTTCGCTCAAAGATTACAACTCTAGTGAGGAGATGTAATGTCTTCTTTTTTCAACGTTTCCGAAGAAAAATCTCGCAGATCAATCCTTCTTTGGAAATGTCAATTTTCATTGTAAAAATTGATGTATGAAAATTTCCACTCAATTACCAAAACAAAAATGCATCAGCGATCAGTGACACTCTATCCGTCGTTGCAAGACAACCAAAGTCAAACTACTGTACGCATGTATGTGTCTATACGCAATTTTTTTAAAATATATCCTTCTCACAGAAAGTTCATTGTTGTTCAATTAAAGAAAAATTGGAAATCATTCATTTAACATTCATCATCGAATTGCAAAACATAACAGATGATTCAGCGCGTATCACTAGACTTTATCAACAGATGAAATTAATTCCTTCTTTTTCTGACTGTTTTAATCAATATATTTAGAAAATAAGTAAGGAGCAAAAAAGATGAAAGAGGAAGAAAAAAGAAAGAAAACTTTATTAAACCAAAAAAAAAAGCTCTTTCTTTATTTAACTATTTGAAATATTAACGTCAATAATTCCAACAAAAACAGTGTTGAGATAAAAAAAATAATAGAAAGGTTGAACATTTTGTTCACTATACACTTTTCAAACGCTAAATGTTGAACGAGTATTTGATGCTTTAGTGATGAAAGAGTTGGATTAATATAATAACTTGTTGGATTAATCAAAAATTATTGAAAGAACATGCAGAAAACACAAAAACAAATCAATAAAGTTCAACCAAAACTAACCTGCAGCTTTTGAAATGGCGTCTACAGTTTTTTGATCCAAACCGTATTCCTTGTTAACCAATGCAGCAGCTTTTTTTAGAATGCCAAATGCGTGAATAATCGGTAATGGCATACGCTCTTCTGGACCACCAATTTTGAAATTCATCATTGATCTAAAATTGATCATGTGTATATATTCTAAGAGTTTGAATTAAATAAAATTGATGAGAATAATATTGCGGTAATGTAACCGAAAAAGATAATTCATATGCTTTAATTACGAATTAAATAACATCGCTACGTTTTGTTTTGTTTTATCTTTTTTGATTTCATTTTATTCATGATAACTTTTCTATCACTGTTTCTGTAAACAATAAGACTGCCAGCTACCTGCTTTTATTTGAAATATCTCGTCCTTTTTTCGTATTTTAAAATTCTTTTCGTCAGATTTGTCATAATTTGCGACAACTATTAAATGAAACATGCTCATTTTAAAATTTGAACAAATACTATTAATTCTTAGTAGAAACACTATTATTCACTTTTTTAAATATTATATTCTTTGTCTCTTCTCTTCCTTCATCATGAATATACAAAAAGTAAAAATCAATGAACAGAAAAATTTGCACAAAAAATTTCTCGATGCTCTTCGAATAGCAAAAAAAATTCCATCAAAATTAGAAAGTTATTAAACAATTTTAAAATACATTTCAGCTATGATGTTCTCTTGAAAAACAAATTTCGTTTACAGCTCCTTTAAAAACAGACATTACATAAAATCAAGTGTTAAAAAAACAAAAATCGGCCTATGGAAGAATTAAATGTTTAAGGGAGGAGAAAGATAATAAAAATTCTTATAAATCGGAATTTAATTCCCATTTTGCTCTAATACACTTATTTCATTAAACTTTGACTTCTTTTCAAAATTACTTGTGACAAATCCAGCTTAGATGACACAACAGTATGATCGAATTTACTTATCATTCAAGAAATAATGAGTTTTTTTTTTAATATAATGGATAAAAAAGTGAATATAAATTTAGTTTTCCATTTCATACTATGAAATGACAGGATTTTTTTCAGTAGGAATTCCTTTGAACACGAGAGACTCAATGATAGCTTTAAACTGCTGCAATTCGATGAACTTGTCAAATTACTGAATATAATAGGATTACCAGTTGAAGTCATGTAAACTTACATCACTCCCATCTATTTTTAGTATTGCACTTTACAGTTTTTTTTGTATCCAGTCATACATGCATTCAGTAAATTACTCGTACAGAAATTACCTCAAGTAAAGGCAGATGACTGTTCCGTGTAAAACTAAATAGACTGATGGCAAATGATTAATGCCATGAAAATGAGTTCATAAATCAGCTTCAGAACACTATTTCGCTGCTCCTATTAAAAGAGATATTCCATTTCATTTCACCGCTAAAATACCCGATGTCTCTTACACATCGTGCTTGATGCTATCATTCAACTGCTATTGTTGCATATTAAACTAATACAACACTCATACTGTCTCCACAAAATCAGCTCTAAAATTAGTACGCTTCCCCAGTTTGTTTTTCCACACAGATCACTTCTCTCATATACTTTACCTCTCTCTCTCTCTCTCTCTCTCTCTCTCTCTCTCTCTCTCTCTCTCTCTCTCTCTAACTCTCTAACTCTTTCCATCCAAATAAACAATGGAAGCTAAATTTGTGAAAAAAAAAAACAGTAATATGAAAGCAAAAAACTATGAAACCTTGCAGTTTGCGCTCCATAATAACGATCCGCTGGTACTTGCAATTCTCCAAAAGTGTCACGTTCCTTACGAATTGCCGTTGCCATATTCCGTTTTACCAATGAATCAATAGCTCGAATAGGTGCTACTATAGTACCACTGCGAGTAACACCATAAATGTTACCCAACCGGCCACCGTTAACCGACACGATTCTCGTCAGCATCATTTTTTTCGCGTCAACAAATCAATAAACACAACACACCCACAACAATAGCAACAACAATAATAATGAGAAAATGAGCGTTGCTTAATTTTAACCTCCACAACTAGATTAATTAGCATACGTAATTAGACTGACAGAAGTAGATGAATGAAATAAATCTTCCCATTATTGAAAAAATGTTTGATGTTTCATTAATTAAAAAACAAATCAAAATAGCATTGTAAAAATTGCAACCGGAACAAAAAGAGCAAACAGGAAGAAGCAAATGGGCGACGATATCAGACTGCAAAAAAAGCATAATAATAATCGTACCCGTTGAGAAAATATAAACTTAATAAGGATATAAACAAAAATAATATTAATCTAATGATAAAGTACATATATATATATACATTTACTATAATCCTAATTATTAGTAAAACCTGTCATCATGTAAACGTCATATATAGCGTAAAATTGATTAAAATTCCTAAAATAGTAGAACGAAAAGATAAGAAAAAGTGTACAAAGCAGTAAAATTACTCGGAATAACTAATAATAAAATAAAAGGATTGGGAAAGAAAAAGATGAGAGGAAAAAAAGTACAATAACAGCATTAAATTAGATGAAAAAGAGGAATAATAATAAAATAAGAAATGCGTGATGTCACATTAACCTTGCTATGGTCGACAATGATAGATCATTATGGAGTTTCACCTTTCACCTCTACATATCATTCCCTCCTCCTCCCCTCCCCTCTCAAGTCCTCTCCAACCTTAATCAATATCGTCCTCATCAAAGAAAAATGGAATATGAAGCAGACATTTATATCCGCTTTTGTGCTGTCACATACAGTGGACTTTCGAAAAGACGGGGAAAAATTTAAATTATGAAAATGGAGTGGAATTTTTTTTCCTTAATTTGAAATATTTTAAATTGATTAAAGTTAGAATGAATTGTTTAGTTAAGAAATAAGGAAAGGACTGAGCGGTATGTTTGTTTATTGCTCTTATTTGATATTTTGATTTTTGAATTGGAAGCAAAGTGAAAATATATAATTTCCCGTACATTTCGTTCACTCCTTACAATATTCATTCTTTTCATCCATTCACAAATGCTCTTCTTTTGCTGTTCCTTTCTATCGTTTTTACGATTTCCATTCATTTCTATGGCTAAAGATAATATTTTTTTTTATTGCTGCAAATATCTTTTTTGTTGGTTATTCCGTTGAGCCGATATTGTTTGTTTTTATTTAGTTAGTAGTTATTCTGAAAGTTATTATTTGTTATTGTTGGTTAATTGTCCAAATATCTTTGCACAGTAATTAATTATCCATTGACTGTTGTTTTTATTGTTTATAATTCCCTACGAAAAAGATCATTCTTCACGCGGCATGTTTAGGCGGGAGGGATTTGCGTAATATATTATTTGCATTTGAATCTTGATATGCTATTGAAATGTTCATATATTTCTAAGTTCGTCTGCTTTATTTTTGCATATTCTTACACTTTTTCAATTTCGCTCTCATTTCTTTGCAAATCCCAATAAGATTTATTTTTTTTCAAATTTCAGGTAAATAAAATGGCAGAGGTTATCCCGGTTAGAGTCGCCATTCGTGTTCGACCACTTAATAATCGAGAAAAGGCAGAGAATTCACAGGAATGTGTGCAGTGCTTTGTGGAACAAAATCAAGTGAGTATTTTCATCACAGAACAGTTGAAAGGGATAAAACTGTTGGAATTAATTCTTTTCCAGATTTTAAAGCATATCGAAGTGACTGTTTAGATATCGGTAAATGGTAAAATGTTCACGTTCGATAGCGTTTTCGATCCTACTACATCACAAGAAGCGATATATGATGTATGCGCTGCTCCCTTATTGGAGAAAATTTTTGATGGTATCATTGCTTTTCTTCTCTTCACTCGTTCTGCTCATTGTGATTTTTAATTTTTGATATATTTATGGAAAAGAATTTTTGCACATGAGAAGTGCAAGTAATTTTGGTATTTTAAAATAAAAAATTAAGGTTATAACTGCACGATTCTTGCGTATGGACAAACAGGTAGCGGGAAAACCTATACGATGGGGACTGAAGAAGCGGTTAACATTTCTTGGCTTTTTTTTCTCTCGTGTTGATAAAGTACATATGATCCGTAACCTTCTATTTTAATAATAATCATCTTTTCGGATGGAAGTTACATCTTCCTTGGCAGCTACCGTACTGCTTCCATAACTGAGTAATTTTTCACTTTGTGTTAACGTGAATTAAATCGGTTGAAGTGATTTAACCAGTAAAAGAATGAAATAAAGTTATTCAAGCAATATTATTGCTAACTTCTTGAAGGCTTTATAGATCAATATCCATGCGAGCAAATTTTATTTTGAGTTCAATTTTTAAATTCGAGATTAGAATTAGAATGGCAAAAAATTCGTCTTAGATAACCGCATCAATAGAGGGACGGGGAATTATTTCGCGATTAGTGGATAATATTTTCAAACACATTGGAGCATCAAATAGACATCGAGTGACGGCGTCAATGCTTGAGATATATGAGGAGAAAGTCATCGATTTGCTTTGTACTGGTCGGGAATACTTGCAAATTCGCGAATCGAAGGGAGTCGTTTTTGTAAGCACTAAATTTTTTAGATATGTTTTGGAACTTTAGCACATTTTGCAATAAAATTTAAATTTGTCTTGTTTAATTGCAGGTTCTTGCTTGACATATCCGTTCTTAATTCAAAAATTTCGACTTTTAGGTGCAAGGATTATCGGTACATTCGGTGTCCTGTCTTGATGATGCCTTAAAACTTCTGCAAAAAGGATGTCAGCTTCGAAGCAGAGGGGAAACAGCAATGAACGACAAATCATCACGCTCGCATGCTATTTTCACGTTGTGCATAGAAGGGAATGAATCAGACGAAAGGTTCAAGCTCTTTCTCGATGTCATTTTAGCTTATTACTTAAGCTGAATGTATTAGTTTTATTTTTTTTTTTTTGTTTTTTTTTTCTAAATAACGATTTCTAGTACCATGTTCAAAGCAAAACTTCACCTTGTGGATTTGGCTGGTTCTGAACGTTTGAAGAAGACCCAAGCTGAGGGTGAAAGGATGCGAGAGGGTATTAAGATCAACGAAGGTTTGCTAGCTTTGGGTAACGTAATTGCATCTCTAACTGATCCAAATGCCACCGGACGCCATATTCCATATCGTGTTACGAAAATTACACGTCTTCTTCAAGGTATAATAATGTTTTTGCCAAACTTTCATTGTTGTTGGAAATTTGTTTGCTGAATTGAATGGTTAGGTACATGACATCTCGTCAGGATTAATCTTTACTGGAGATTAATAAGTATAATCAGCTTCAGTTAAGTTATACTAGAATTTGTTAATTCTCTGATGATCCCTATTTGAACTGTTATTACTTACAACACTTTTCTTTTTTCTAGTTAACATTTATGAATATTATTATTAGTGATCAGTGCGCTGTGGAGCAAACTTAACTTACAGATTCGCTTGGAGGTAATAGTTATACGGTGATGATAGCATGCGTTTCACCAGCTGATACGAATGCCGACGAAACTCTGTCAACACTACGATATGCAGATCGAGCAAAACATATCAAGAACAAACCCACTGTGAACATCGATCCAAATATGGCCCTGATCCAAAGTTTAAGGGATGAATTGGCGAACGTGAAACGTGAATTGGCAATGCTTCGTGCAGAAGAGAATTTGGTAACATTGGATGATAACCAGACAACGTACAGTTTTTTGTTCATCATTCAGTGATTAATTACAAAGATTACCAAAACGAAGTAAATCTAGAAATTATGGTGCAGGAGTTTTTGTTTCGAATTTCAGTCATGATAGAGAGTTCATTATTTGTCATTGCGTAATTTTAGTCTTCTTTAAGAGCAAAACTTTATAATGATGAAGAGGAGAACTGTTCTCCAAGTAATTGCATTCGAACCGTAATGCATTATGAGAAAATTTTGTAAGTATCAAAGACTTTGAAAATTAATTCTTTTATGATTGTTTTATTTAGCCGTTTAAGAGAATGTAAGAAGTGTAACGAGTTAGAAAAACAAGATCTAAAGCGGCAGGAAGAATATAATCGTCGTAACGTACAATTTGCGGAAGCACTGGCGGAAAATGCGAAATTAGTAGAGCAATTGCTGGCCGCACAACAAATTGTTGAACAAATGAGGGATTACATTAAGGAAATGAAGTAAATTTTTATTTCGTGTGATCAGATTAAGAAAAAATTACCTTTATACTAATTTTTTTAACTTTTAGAAAAAAAGGCAAAAATAAGGAATTTGATGAAGTGATGGAGATCTTGGACACTGCTATCAACTTGCGAGGTCCTATCGACGAGGAAAAAGACAAGGATGTGTTCGACGTAAATTATTTTATTAATATATGATAAAATTTATTAGTTTTTCAAGTATTGCTTCAAGAAGGTTTTCGACAATGAAGTAATCCGGTAACGAAATGACAGGAGGTCTAGTTTGATAAGAATGCTCTCAAAGATGAATTTTTCTTATAGTTTCTCTTGCTAGTGCAATTATAAGTTTGCAACAAGAAAAGGTTGTTCTGTCTTCCTATACGTGATTGATTCTATTAGTTATTGTTACACGTAATTACAGTTCGGTTTAAATTCGTGTTTCAGGTTGGTGAGGATGATGGAGATGACGAAACATCCGATCAAGCATTTGTCCATCGCTTTACTGAGAAGCAAATTGCACTTAATAAGGATATGCAGGATATTTTGGAAGAAATCAAACAAAAAGTTTGTTGTTTGATTCAAAATTACGTACGTTAGTGTTCGACATAAATTAAGTTAAATTATGTTTGGTGAATTTTAGGAGCTGGCATTTGAAACAACCGTCGCTTCTCAGACAGATATTATCAAGTTGCGTGATACATATGCTGCTGAAATGGAACAGCTGCAAGCGAAATTGGTTGTTCTGGAGAAAGAAAAACAGGAGCTGCTGAGCAAACTTAAAGGGTCTAGCATCCATCATAAGTATGAGCTATGTCAATAGCTATTATTTATCCACTATGCCCAGAAAAGGAAAACATGATTTTGAAATAATTTTATTGTAAGGTTGAGCGAAGAACGACGGAAACGACTTCAAGAACTCGAGAAAGAATTGGCAGCGAGCAAAAGACGGATGGGAGAAATTCAAAAGCTGGAAAAAGAAAACATTCGTTTGCAAGAGCAATCCAAGAAATTGAGTGCGGAACTTAGCGTGTGTTTATTTTTTTAAAATTCTTTTTTATAATTTAGGGTTTTTGTGAATAATGGTTTGCTAAGTTCTTTAATATCTAAATCTAAAGGAACAGTTCTTTATTGCCGCCATGATTTTATATCATTTATACTGAATTACTGCAAAATGTATCTTCCGCAGTCCAAGAGTTAGTGCTATCATGGTTTTGAACTATCGGTTTCGTGATTGTACTTTCCGATCTCAACTCTGAAAATAATCTTAAGAACCAATTGTGTATTGAGAAACGGAGAAAAAACTATTATTGCAACCATGAGAAGAACTACACACTGCTCATTAGGATTTTGGATTATAACTTTTTGGCCTCAAGTCTAAAAAAGATTTGAAATTTGTTGTAGTTAATGAAATCATTCTTCCATTTTCAAACCTAAAAATATTTTTATATATATTTATTACAGGAATTGAAGAAGTTAAGGATTAAAATGTCTAAGCAAATGAAGGAAGGAGAAGTAAGATTTCGAAAATGGAAAATGATGGCTGATCGAGATGTGGCACAGATGAAGAACCAGGTTTGTTCTGATTTCGTTTAAATTAATTTTTAAGACAAATAAAATAACATTGTATAAAAAAATCATCGATAAAATCAATTCATTCTTCGTATCAGATTTAAACGGACCTTCCAGAAATTTCGATTAATTGACTTTATTCTTTCCCTTTTCATTAAGGCACGCAAACGCGAAGTGGAAATGGCGCGAGAGCAGCATGCGAAAAATCTACAATTAGTTGTGTATCGGCGTAAATACGAGCAAGCTAATGCTTGCAATCGACGTTTGCAGATGCAACTTGCTAAAAGCACTATTCGAACAAAAACATGTTATGACGGGCAATTTATTGTAAGTTATTCTGAAAGTCTTTAACTTTTAAATGGAGTGAATTTTTCACATTTAAAAACTAAATTTTGGGCCATAAATTTAAGGAAGATTGATTAAAATCGACTTTAGATTTATTTCGAAATAGATCCAAACATGCTCAGAGTTAGATTTAATTTATAGTATTTTGAAATTAAGTTTGATGTCACTTAAACTTGTTTATTCCAAGATCTCTTGCAGTCAGCTCTGAATGATGAACTGGCTGTAGCTTATTCCGCAGCTGAAGCTAAAGTTTATTGCCAAGTCTTAATCGAACAGCGAAAAACTTTTTCTGAACAGCAACAAAAGTTGCGGGAAAGACTAGGGGAATTGTTGAAGGAGCCACCGGTCAAGGTTTGTTACTAGTTTTGATAATATTTTAATTTTGAGTGACTTAATTCTTCTCAATCCTTTTATAACTAATTGGAGAAAATGTGAAAAACCAAAAATATACTGAAACATTTTGTTTCATTGTCACTTGTTACATCATTTTGGAAAAGTTGCTGTTTTAAGCGCCGTACTGGATTCGACCGTATAGGTATCGAAGATGAGGATGAAAAACAGATAATTGAAGAGCAGCTAAAGAATTTGGAGAAGGAAATTCAGTTACGAGGCTGTGAACTCAATGATATTCAAAAGAAGCGTACAAAAGCTTGCTTAGATGAACAGCGTGAGCAATTGTGGAATGCTGTACGAAATCTTGCAGAAGCAAGAGCAGGACTGGATCGTTTATTCGATGCAGTAATTAAATTTTTTAAACTGTTTTAGTAGTTCTAAGATTTAATCATATGAAAACTTTTAAGGTCATAATCAAGTAGTAACAGGCATAAAACTAAAATTTAAAAATAAAGTAAAAAAGTAAGCACAAAAATGTTTACAGGCCGTAAGCGAGAGGCGTAATTATTTGGAAAAAGATTTGGCATTCGAAGAACTGAAGCGAAGCATGGAGGAAATGAAAAATTTGTATGAAAAGAAGTTGGACGCTATGCGAATGGAATTGAAAAGTGTCAGGGCTGTGGTAGGAAGTTTACGAAGAAACTTAGCAGAAACTGAGCTGTGCTACGCTAAGCAAGTATAGTTACTTTCCAGATTTAGAACTTTATTTGAAGGTTGATAACAGAAGAAATACACGCAGGATTTTTTTCTATTTTAATTGAAGGAACGCGATATGATAAACATCTGGAATGAAATGGCTGAGGGGCATTTCAATTTGCCCGATAATATTGTCAGGAATTTGAGCTTGGTAAGGGAAGCTGCTAACAATTTCACCAACCTCCAACAAGCATTCGAGAAAAAGCGAAATGATTTAGAGGTTTGTCAAAAATGGATTTTTCTTTCCTCACAGAAATATATAAATAATGTTATTTCTATGGTGTGATAAATTCGAAATCCTTAGAAATAATTTTAATGGTGAAAACATTAGAAGTCACATGCACGAGTCTATCATGGTCGATTACGTCGCAAGACTGGACCAACAGATGGTATCATGCCTAACCGTTCTCTATCAGAGAGCGTAAGTTTTATCATGATTTTATAATCGTCTTCCAAAAATTAAATTTTGATTTTGCCAAGATTTACTTCAAACTGGTTGTAGATTCCGGACTATTTTTGTCCAATTCATTTCAAAAGTGAGTTATAATTATGATTGGTTAATATATAACTTTTGATATAACCACCTGATCAAAAATATGCTGTGGTAATCAGAATTACCACAGCATATTTCGGAAACTTTATTTGAAAAAATGTTTGCAGATTATAGAACAAGAAGAATGTGAAAAAAATTTATTTAAAAATTATCAAATAAGAGAAAATCGGAAACCAGTAGAACGTCTTGGAGCTGTAAGTATCAGTTTTTTTCTTCATTTATATTTGAATTCATTTAAAATCACAATAAGTTACTTACACAAAATTTCTTCTGAAGGTTATGGATCTGGATTCAGTTTTTTCGGATGAAAAAGAAGAGAATACATCCACTGCAGACAGTGATTTTTCTTATCATCCCACTCCCCAGAGAGTAACCCGTAAACGTCAATCCAGGTTACTTTCTCTGATAAATGTAATATAATAGGATATGGTTATATTGTTAAGTTTCTATTTTAGATAAATAAGAGTTTTGATTTGAATAAATAACCAATTTATTTATATTGCCTCGAGATAAATTAAAACTCGACTTACGACATAGGAGAATTTCCTGTAATGGAGGATAAATTGTTTCGGTATGACCATGTAAGATGGGGATGTCAACTCTTAATGTGACTTGAATTCCTGGTAGTTTCCCATATTATTAAGATCGTATGCGTTGTATATTGTAACCCTAAAAAATCCTTAAAATTGCAATGAGACTAAAATTTAACCCGCAAAACAAAAATTTAAACATCAAAAATTCTAGTATAACTAAACGCCGTGACACTTTCGTTTTGAATGAAGCTCCACTGAAACAGAGTGATATGAAGGAGGAACCGAAGGATGAGCCTGTTGCAGGCTGCAGCAAGGTCATTTTTGGATATATTATATTTTCATATAGCTACTTTTGACTAAATCTTGAGGTCAGTATTAGCATGACCTTTTTGAATTTGCATATTTAAGTAATAGTTTCTTTTTTAGGAATCTGATTTCAATCCAAACACAACGTATACTGTTGGACAATGTTCAGAATTGGATCACCGATCAATTATAACTCGTGATCTTTTTAAGAAACTTTAGATTTTAGATTGTAATTTTTTTAATGGGCTATAATTTTGACTTCATTAACTGCATATCAAATTATTCCTATGTAATATGTATGAATGAAACAGAAGAAAACAGATCTAAAGCTTTCAGATTTTACCGATTTTGCATGCAAATATTGAATGATCTTGTTTTCTTCAATCTAAATAGTATTTTTTGAGTAAGTTTAATGATAGTAAGCGATCTCTTAGCTATCTCACTGATCTGATTTTCGGTGATCAAAATCACTATTGATTTTTACTATATTATCACTTTGTATGAAAATACTATTAATTTTTCTTGGATGATATTTTTCCTATAGGAACTTCATGATCGTTTTATGTATACATGAATCGCTTGCAAACAATTTAGCTGTATCTTAATGCTTATTTGATTAGCACACTGCGATAAGTTAGGTGTCTAAATTTAGTTTTTTTTTCTTAGATTTGAAGGATCAACAGCTTTTTTTGCAAATATACAATTAAAGTTTTTCCATTTCATTGAAAGTATCCTATGTCTAAACTTATTGTATTTTACAGTTTTTCTTCTTTGCTCCGAATTGATATTCCCTGAATTGGGAATCTACAAAACAATAATATGTGCTAAATGCATCTTTGTATATTGACCAATGAATTCATTAATTTCATATTAGTTACTTTGAAATGGTTGTTTAAATTCCCGTTAACAAACACAGAAAGACCGCCAGAAATATTTCCTTTCCTTTTTCCTTTATATTAATAAGTCTCAGATATTAAAGTTTGCCATTAATCTTTTGTTTGGTGTCGTACTTTCTTTGTTGAAATATCGCAAACTAGTCCTTCATAATGCTAATTAATTGACTAAAATGACATCATGTTTTGAAATTCGTTTAAGAATAAATGGTCAATTATTAAAGCACTATAAATGTCATTTTTTTGTTTTTTGAAAACAATTCCGTTGTCGAAGAAATACTTGTGAAATATAAAATTTGATACAGATCTTCCAACTGGAATGCTTGAGGATAGATCGTAAACGAGAAGAGTCCGGTAAATTCTTATGGGTTTCGTCCAGTGAAACCTAAATCAGCTTTTGTCTATGATTTTTCAGTTTCTGATTTGCAATCATAAATATTTCTTTATCTTGTTGCACGATACAGTGTTATCAGTTATCCTATCATCATTGGGTTGGATTCAATTACTCTTAGTATAGCAAATAATATAGAGTTAATTGAATTAAACTGATGCTTTGTGCGACCAGAAGGATATCGTTCTTCTTATCAAATGATAGTTTACAGGTTTATTGAACTTGTAATGATGATAATATAGTGAAGTATCGCTGATAAGTGATATTTCGAATAAGCATCAAAAAGAAAAGATTAAAGCGTGAAATGCATTATTAAAAGAAACTGTGATTGGCTAATGGTGTAACTGTAGTCCAAATCTTTCTAATTAATTTGTTCGTCATATGGCCAAAAGTTGTTGACATGACGTCACACTCCATGACATAAGTTTCGCTCCATACAAGTGTTGCTGCTTACATTTCTTCTGGAAGATATGATCGACTTTAGATTATACCTTAATATGAATTTTCTTATTTTTTAGGGTCTTGAATATTCAAATGCCCAATTATCCGACATGGCTATCAGATGAAATCGCGATCGGATATATTGAACATGGTATTCAGACCCTCCTTCCCTGGCAGTTGGATGTTTTGAATAATCGATCTTTGCAAGCTCCAAAATATGGAAATTTCATATTTTCCGCCCCAACAAGTTCCGGTAAAACGGTTGTTGCAGAATTAATTGCTGTAAATACTGTCTTACAATTACGTTGCAAAGCAATTTTTGTCTTCCCGTATATATCCGTCGCCAAGGAAAAATTTCTTATTTTGCAGGTTAATTTTAAGCTATATTTTATTTCAAATCGTGAAGCCTTTATCTTATTATTTAAATTTGTGCTAAGAATGTTTTCCTCATTTTTATACAATCTTTCTATTCACAATGGTACTATTCACAGTGGTATTAAAATCTGATATTTTTATAATTTTAATATTTAGTCTTCAAGCGATTAAAAAAAATTTTGAAAAGCTTACAAAATTTTCAATAATTTTATTTTTTTAGAAAATATGGCGAAAGGTTGATCTTCGTGCCAGTGCATTCATAGGCTCACATTCATCATCATTTCAAGCTTGGGATGCATCAGTATGCACAATTGAGAAAGCTAATTCACTCTTAAATCGTATGATTGATGATAAAACTATATTCGATTTAGGTTAACTTTTTTGCTTTTTTTCTTCAAGACCAAATAATTATACATCAAAGAAGTCACATTTCATGGATATATTTTATTAATAAAATATGTTGCATCCAACACGTATTTGATAGAAATATCCATCAATAGGTGAGTAATTCCCAACGTCGAAATATACTATATCTGATACATGGGCGCAAACAATTAGCAAAAATGCATTGAAACATATCACATGCTTTAAATGTAGAAAAATATGGATCAATATATAGGCAAGTAGTTCTATTTCGGTATTATTTTATTCATTGTTATTGAGAAATTACTATTTATTATTGATTTATCTTTTAGGTGTGTTGGTAATCGATGAATTTCATATGTTATTTGATGGAAATCGTGGTCCATTGGTAGAGCAAATTGTTGGGAAAGCATTGTACATTTCACGATTTTTAAAGTAAGGATTCTCAAATGTATATTGCCAAGGTTTTTCCTTTTAATTTTAATTTATTAGACTACATCCGCATAATTGGTTACTAAACTAAGATTCTTAAATTTCTGAAAGATCTAAAATTTTTCGTTGGCCCTTCAAAGTTTTATAAAAGATTGCACATTTTAAATTTTAGTTTTTGCAGCCATCGAATTCAAATTATCGGCTTAAGCGCTACACTGCCAAATTTGGATGAATTAGCTGACTGGCTAAATGCCGAGAAGTATGAAACACAATTTCGTCCGATACAGCTACATGAAATGATAATGTGTGGTAGCCAACTGCTAGATGTGAACACATTGCAGTGCATTCGAACGGTATCAAGTGAACTTACTGTTCCGAACGATATCGAATATACAATCATTCAGTACAATTTTTGACAAATTACGAGTTTAAAAATCAAAGATTTTCAAGAATTCCAAATCTTTTTTCCTTCACAAACTAGAATTTAAGGAAATTCATAAATCTTTGTCTGAAATGTAATAAAGTTTCTAACATATACTCCAACGTAATCCATTTTATACCAGTGTAAGATAGGCAAATCTGGCAGAGTTTCAGCTATAATCATAGTATTATATATTGTACACAGTTTTCATCAAACTTCCCAGACCAAACAGAACTTATAAAATATTTCAAATTTTCAGAACAATTAGCTTTGTTAAATTGGTTCCAGAAAATCTACATGTATTTTTGGAATTATTGAATTGTGAAAATTTTCAGATTATGTACGGAATCTGTTATAAAAGGCGAATCGGTGCTTGTATTTTGTAGTTCAAAAGCAGAAACAGAAAAGCTCGCCTTGGCTATATCGCATCATTTCGAAGAATGTTTTAAATCGAGCAATAACCAAAACCTTATTTCATCGTTGAATATGCAATCGTTGAATACAGTTAAACAAACATTTCATCATGAAATACAATTTGTAGATGATATTTTGCAAAAAACAGTACCGTATGGAATCGCATTTCATCATGCTGGTTAGTTTTGCCAGATATTAACATACTTTAATAATATCCTTTTTTTCACCCAATTTCGAATTTGATTACTGCACCAATATATTAACTGTATCTTTTTTTTCTCTGAATCTGTTTAGAAATTTCAATCAACATCGAATTGAAAAAGCACCTTTCTCCTGTAATAACTTGCTGAAGTTGAATCTAATAAAAACTTTTCAATTTTACAGACTTAATCATTAATAATCCGTTAATTTAAGCTTTAAAACGCATTAATGTATTTTTACTTTTATTCTTAAGTTAACTGTTTATTTGAAAACTTCAAAATGGAAGAAATTTCACTCAAATTTTGGAAATATTTATGAGAATTGAAAATTTCCTAAATTTACTAAAGTTCGAAAGATTTTTCCCTGAATAAAAAAGGGAAAGGAATAATTTTAAATGTTCGTTGTCACATACACATACACACTGTGTGTATGTGTTTACTTATATGTATGCATATGTGTCGTGTACCAATTATCGGTAATGTCATCTTGCAACAATTGAGGAGACGGTCTTCTTTTTAAGAGCGTTGATTAAGTGCTATTCATTGGATAAAAAGGGGCACATTGTCATTATTATTAGCGCATTAACGTTTTGATACTTACTTATGGATTCATTTATTTACGTAATCACTTATTTACTTACTTATTCACTTAATTTTTCTCCAATTACCTTATTTATATTCCGAAATCGTTTTTCAAATCATCAACATTATTCTTACTTACTCATTCTTCCTTTTATTCCGATATGATTATCGCTACCCAACCTTTCCATCCCTTTCTCTTTTATGACCTTTTCCCCAAATGCCTATCTCTCACTTATTTCCCATTTATATTGCCGATATCTTCCATTCATCCGTTTAAAATAAAATTATCTATCCTTTTGAAAAATGTATTCTTCGATGAGAGTGAATTAGTACACATTCTTTTCTTTAGCTTTCAAAATTCGGAATATGTTAAAATTTTTAAGAGCAATTTATGCCAATTGAAAAATCATTGATAATCTCCTTTGACTGATGAAATTGGCAATCATTTTCCACAAAATCTAATAGCACAATCAAAGGGAAATGTGATTGAAATAAACAGTAAATTTGCTAGTCACATGAATTGAAGATATCAATTTGAAAAGAAGAATAATCAATATTTAAACCGAACCAATAAGTCATATATTTCAGGTTTAACCATAGAAGAACGTGAAAGTATTGAGAATGCTTTCTATGAGCAGTCACTGCGTATAGTATGTGCAACATCAACTCTCAGTTCGGGAATAAATTTGCCAGCTCATCGTGTAATTATAAAAGCGCAAATGTGTGGGCCTTTAGCACTTAATGGTTTGACATACATGCAAATGATTGGTCGAGCTGGACGTTTAGGACAAACCGAAAAAGGTATAAATTCAGCTGATTGTGGTGAACATGGAATTTAATGTAAATGAAATTGTTTTTTTTTGGAATTCTTGAAATGGAACTCGAGAAACTCGGAAATGTCTGAAAGAAATACTACCATTCTTGTATAAGATTTACTAATAGGATTTCTGCCAATGAATCATGTAAGTAATTAATCTGATTGTAGTGATAAGTGATAGTAAATATATAGACTATGTGAAAATTCAATAACTTGCCAAAGTTATTGAAATTTTGAGATTATAGCAAAAACTCGGAAAATGCCGCAAATATTTAAGAGAAAAGAATAAAATTATATGAAAATATTAAAACAAATTGATTTATCTCCAGAAGAGGCGAGAAAAATTTGAATTATATTAGTTAAACTTTGTTAAACTTTTTTGTGAAAAAAATTGAAACTGGAAATTAATAAGTTAAAAAATGAAATAATGATTAGAATAAAAGATGTCGTTCATCAATTTTTTGCTCATTAATAACGTTAGATTTGTTGAAAGTGATATTTGAATTTTGTTTAGTAATGATAATTGATTCCTTCGAAAAGCTAGAATATTTTGTGACCTTATATCCGAAAGCTGACCTTGTCAAATATCTTGCTTAAATATTGGATAATTGAGAGATGATACTGTTCTGTATATATCAAAGGTCAAAGGTCATTCGAATTAGAGAAGCGTGTGAAAAAAGTTGTAGTAGACAGTAGCTACAAGTGATTGTTGATGTTGAAGCAATTATATGGGCAACTTGATATCCATTCATCTCAAATTGTCAATAATTCATTTCGCTAGCTCGGAGCATATTTGCCGGAGATTAATTTATCATCCAAAATAGATTTGCTACATTTAATTTTCATCATTTTCCCTTCTCCTTTCTCTCTCTCTCTCTCTGTATAGATTGAATTTAACTTTGTGGTGTTATTTAAATATTTCACTTCTTTTCAACCAATTAGACTGCTAATAAATTGATTATTATTTTTTCAATTAAATTAGAAAATTTTTATGTTTATCTATAGTTGGAAGCTATGCCTAAAATTTGGCTTTGTTAATCCTATCAAATAAAAAGAATGAAATAATATCAGATTTAAGATAGACAGATCTAAATTCATGATAGACTACGGAATTAATCTTAAAAGTGGCTATTTGGAAAATTAATCAAAATTTAAAATGTATCATATCTTTTTTTATTCCAAAAACTTTCTACCAATTATAGTTTATATTATTTTTTTTAAGATGATTTGCAATCGATTTCGTTTTTTTTTCAAATTCATATTCGAAATGATGATTAGTGATGAAATTTCCACCATTATGACAGAATTTATTCTTCTAAAGAGCTTGTTTAATTAAACAATTTAATTGCCAATATTGGAATTATGATAATTGGAATAGTCAGATATATTTTACTAGTTTCTTAGCTTTCTGTAAGTTATATTTTGTTAATTTTTCTTGCAATTCAATAACTTCGAGGCATATAATTAACCAAATTTCCAGCAAAGATACCGTAATATTCAGTCCCCTTCCGTCATTTCATTTTCTTGCTTCAACAATTTCAATAAATTATAGTTATTGAGATTTTAATATTTCAAACTGTAATTAAATAAAATTTAAAAATTTTCTGATTTACAATTTATTGTGGAAATTACTGTCGCATCATCTTCTTTTGAGTATTTTTACATTTCTTTTTGCTTCGATAGTCTAATATTGATTAAAATTTAACTGTAAAACTTGAAGAAAACGAAAAGTTTTGTGTATAAATGATTCAACTCGTAATTTTTCAAATTCCACCATAAATTGTAAATCAGAAGATTTTTAAGTTTTATTTAACTACAGTTTGAAATATTAAAATCTCAATAACTATAATTTATTGAACTTCAAGAAAAGCAAAAGAAATGAATCAAATGAAAACGAAATTTATTAATGGGATGCTAATAAAGTTATAATTATTATCATTACACTACAATCATTTTATATCACAGAAAATTCATAATGTCTCCAAGGATTTTAAAAAGATTGGCGTGAAATCTCATTGAAACTAAAATTCGTTAATAAATAAACAAATCAATTTTCTGTTAATATTCATTATTATATTCATAAATGTTGAACTGATAGGTGAAAATATAAAAAAGGCATGATGGATTCATATTAAAAATATGTTGTACGTATAGTACCGATAATTAAAATAATTAATTAAAATATCGATAATCAAAATATCATCATAACTTACAACATAGGATATATCACAATAAGAAATATACAATGATCATATTGATGTGACAAAATTTTATAACTACTTCTATTTCTTTTCTTATTCTAAGCTAATTTTGCCTAGCAGGATTGGTATATTTGTTTAGATATTGTAAACCATTATATTGATGATAAGCAGATAACTTGGTATTTTGCTGATTATGATTAAGATCATTATTATTATTGTTATTATTACCATTATTATTTGAAATACCCGGTGAGCATGCATCCACTGACCTGTCATCCTCATTCGATTCCTTATCGATTTCATCATTTTCCAAATGTGCTGCTGCTTCGAGACTTTTCTTATGCATTCCTGACAATACAACACAAATGATTAGTTAAGATTTGATTAAATTGGTAACTAGCATATAATTAAGTTATTTAGTTGAAATAGGTGAATATAACTTAGTTAAATTATACTTTATTTTTTATCAATTTCAACTTCTTAATTTCTGGAATTACAATTGCCATAATTTTATTCAAAATTACTAAATCAATATAATTTTAGAAAAGAAAAAGCTACAAATAATGTTAATCCTTTGAATCAAATCAAAATTTTACAATGGCAAAAGTTATGTGGAAGAGGAAATATTTCAAAGAAATTATCTTTATAATTCAATTTTGGAAGGAAGTTAAATTTATGAATAAAAGAAAGGCAACAAACAACGTGAAAATGTTGTAAGATAAGAGAGTAGAATATGATAGAAAAGCATATGGCAGTAATTGCGTCAGTTTGTTTCCATCTAATTACGGTCAATATGTGATGCATTAATTATGATGTAATGATTATAGAATAAGATAGATAATCATGATATTATTAATCAGTTATGTTTCTATTATAGTATCTAAGTTTATATTATTAATACTGAAAACAGAATGTCTAAATTTCTGATAGGCTATTCTTTCTTCTACCTTATCTATCTTGACAGAGTAATTAAACTAACAAACCTAAAAGCCATGGAGCAGCGGATTCGTTTGGATTTTCGGATGATCGTGTAATCGTTTCTGGCAATGGTAACGAATGTCGAACCATTGCACCGTACAGTCCGTATTCTGCCATTATTGTACTTTTCCCCCATGTTTTCTCTGTTTTCCTCCATTTGGCTCGACGATTTTGAAACCAAACCTATGTAATTTAAGAGGAATTTTAAGAAAAAAGAAAGAAATTCTTTTCAATTTTCCTCTTTTAGAGAAAAAAAATAAATAGCAAAATGAAATTTTATAGCAAAATTTGGATAAAGAATGTATCAAAAAATGTATAATGACAAATAACATGAATGATTAAATAATGTTTGCGTGATATTTTATAAGTATTTAATCACCTGTATTCGATCTACCGCAATTTCAGTCTTCATAGCTAATAGTTCACGAGCATACATATCAGGATAATGGGCTTCCTAAAAAATTACTGACCAGTTAGTGAATTTTCTGAACATCAAAAAATATAGCTTGTAAATTACCAATAATCTTTTCGAAGGTCAAAAACGTGACTTGTAATTATTGGTACGTAGTGAATTTTATGGATGTTAATCGCTTAAATTAGAAATGAAGAAAGAAAAAAAAGCAAAAATTTATTCTGGACATAATTTAGATTATCAAAGGATATTCTAAATTGACATTATAGAGAGCGGGGAAGCAATGATTTTTAGTTTTGTAAAAGCGAATTTTTGAATTGTTCAAATTATAAATCAGAAGCAGATGAAATGAGCAAATAACTAATTCAACCATGAGATCTTTTCAGCTAGCTTTCTGATACAACAAAATTTAATAATGGAATGTTTTACCGAATGAATGTGCATTCAAAACTTTTTCTCAATATTAAATCTTGTTATGTGAAATGAATTGTTGAAAAGATGACGAATTAGGATCTAATAATAAGAAAAAAGTATTTTTGATTCCAATTAATTATTGAAAATAAATTGGGCTTGAATATTAAACAATAGTCATATCGATTCTTTTTTCGCTTCTTATTTTGTCTTTTTAACTTTATTCTAAGATGGAAATTGAAAATGAAATTGATTTAAGTGAAATTTTGCTGAATAGTAAATCAATTTAATTTTCTTGATTTAATGAATGCAAGTAATATTTGAATAAACTTTTTTAGAAACAAAAAGAAACAAATAATTTGGAATTTTGAGCATTTATCATTGTTATAAGAAAGCGTCAAAACTATAAGTGAAATTTTAAATTGTCATTAGAAGAACGGTGGTATATTAACCATACCTGGAAGGCTTTTTCCAATTCATCGACTTGAAATTGCGTGAAAATCGTTCGATGGCGACGTTTTTTTCTTTTTGAAATAGTTTTTTGACTGTTTGATGAGGGAATGTTTGTTATAGTAGTTGCCGTTCCAAACATTGAATTTGACCGGATACCGGTATAATCCATTTCGGACATCCCTGTCTTATTAGTAACGATAATAAAAAAATACTAATTAACCGTAAGAATGATTAGCAATGTAGTCTGTTGTTCAATTTTATCAGCTATTACTACTTTCCTTTTTTTTTTTCTCAATTCAAACAATAATTAACACCGAAATTAGTAATCATAGCTACTTTCTAACAATACATTATTTAGTGATGATGCAGTCTTTACTGAAAGCTCTCTCAGATATAAAATTCAATGCAGTGAATCAAATAAATGATGCGGAACTGATAAATAGATTAATAAAAAAGTAATTAAAGAATTACAAGTCAATATACCAAGAATAGTGAACAAGAAAATTGATTAGAATAAATAAAAATGATGAAGAAATAAAATTGATTACCCTGATTAATTGGTTCATATTGGACTCGATCAAACCGATTTTGTGGTATTTCCATAGTAAATAATTGTGGTGCGTTATGAGGAAAGAATGATACTGTTTGATTGGTACAATATTGTGGAGCTGTGGTGAGATAAGTTGCAGCGGTACCTTGTTGCATATCACGAGCTGATGCTAATCCCAACAAACTATGGATCCCAAACGACATTCCCATTCGCTGAGCTGCAGCAGCAGTTGTAACAACCGTATGATCGGTTCCGCTTGTAGCTAACTGATGCATCATGGTACCTATTCCGGTTGTCGAATTTCCTCCAATACTACAACAACCACCACCATCACCACCGTTGCTACTACCATTACCACCATCAAACATTGCAACCGATATTGTTTGCATATTTTTTCTTTCGCGTTTTTTTTCCCTTTTTGTCTGGAGAGTAATAATATATACCGGGTATATAAATAGGTAAATAAATAGATATGCAAAGTTAACACTTCTTAAGGAATAGGTAGGAAACTAAGATGTCTAATGGTGGTAAAGTGCCATCGTTGCCCTTATCATCCTTTAATTACCGTATGATTAAAACGGTATTTCAAAAGGCGGAGCATAATCAACCAACCCGAATCATCTCAATACTCTTTCATAACCAATCAAATTGAGTACACCTCTTTTGTTCCTTTACCTAGGAATGTAAATACGAATATATGGATAAGACAGATAAGAGAAGGATAGATTAAAGAAAGTGAAGAGAAAGAGCAGATGAAAGAAGAAATTAAAATTTAATCCACATAATGAATCCAATTATGGCCATGCAAAATGCCTTGAAATTTAGGAAGCATCAATTAAAATGAATGAGCAATACAAGAAATTGTATGCAAATGGATTGTTGAATAAACTAATTGGAATTATATTGATAAAACCAATTATACTAATCACTATGATCATCATCAGTAAAAGTAAAGATAGGAAGATATGCTAAACTGATGTCTTGTCTTCAGACAATGACGATAAGACATAATGAATGAACAATAACAAGAATGTAATAATAGCAATAACAATAATTGAAATGTAGTATTAGCAATAACAGTAACAATAAGATTAGCCTTATTTTTTAGAAATGATATGAGGAAGAAATATATGTAACATGAAAAGATTAGTTTCGGGGATGAATTAGATCCAATTGAATGCAAAAAAAAAAATTACAGAGGGATAGGCCTATATGCATACATACGTTTGCAAACATATAAGCATCGGATAAATTAAGGACGCAATGATTGAATTGGCTTTTCTACATTTATTGTTAATGTTACTGCTGCTATTATCGCTTAAGGATATTAGTTGAATTTAAGTAGGCAATGTTTCACTAAAAAAAGGCTACAGATCGTTCGTGTATTGTTAATCTTTTGATCCTTTTCCCATCTATCAATAACCTCAATAATTTTATTTTGTCTGTTTGGAATTTATATTAATACTTTTAGTCTTTACCTCTTCTACGAAAAAGTAATAAATTTGGTGAAATTTGTCAAAATTATTATTTTAGTATTGCATTTTTATTTTCAATCTTTAGCTTTAATATTGGAACGATATTAATAGATTGTATAGAAACGATAAATGATTAGCATCATTACAGGCTTTGTTTGGATGAAATGATACATTTAGACGGATTCAATTTTTGGATTGAACTAACTGATAAACTAATAGAAAAAAAATCAATTAGTATTTCTGATTGATAAATATTTAAGTAGAATTGCTATGTACAAGTTTTGAAGATTAATAATTTAATGAATTATCATCATTTTATTACATGTATTGCAGTAACGATTTAAGCCTGGAAAACTTGAATATAAGAGGTGTTTAAAATTATTAATTCAAGTTATTATCGTTCTTTCAAACAATAAAACGCCGGAATATTATTGAGCAAATGGGAAATGGTTAGCAAACTGAATGATTCATCTGTATGAAATGTTCAGGTGAAAGTATTGTGGTATGTAATAAGAATCAGTTGGATTTAGTACAACGAATTATTCAACAAAAGGCAATTTTTGCTCGTAGATGTGAAATTCGAAGACGACGAATTAAACTAATTATTGAGGTTATTTGAACTTTGCAATTTTTCATTATTTTTTAAATGTATGTTTTATCATACATGTTCAGCTTTTTTTCTTCTTCCGTTTGATCAATAATTTTTGTCTGTAAAATTTCTTCAACAAATTACCATCGCAATAATTTGCGAACATCAACGATGAGTAATAATTTGTAACTTTTAATATCACTTATAGCAGTAATTTTCCTCAGTGAAACAATAATTGTAAATTGTAGGCGATATGCAGTGGTCTCTGTAGAGATGAAAATGATCTGGAAAATTTGCTCTCATTATTGTTTTTCGAAGGAAAATTAACGATAAAAGATGAGCTTAATTTTCTCATTGAAAGAAAATTGATTTGTCATCAAAAAGGTTTCGGCATTTTCAGATTTTCCAATCAATTAATAATTTGTATCTTTCAATAAAAATTTAAATATCATCAATGCTACAATTTCATTACCATCGTTTTTTTTTAAAATAATATTTTCATTGTGCTTTTCAATTTACATTAATTTTCCGTTTATTACACTCTATTTATGAGCTAAAATGATACAATTGAATTGAAGGACTACGTGGGACTCAGTTAGGCCGAGCTGTATTCACATCATCATTATCACCGGATATTGCATTACAAGTTTATGACGATCTTGAAAAGGCCATGCGTTCTTTAGCTTTGGATACTGAGCTTCATTTACTTTATTTGGTAATTTTTTTTAACTTTTTCTCATATTTCCCCAAGAACTACCAATAACTCCAATAGTTCTTATTTGATGAATTGTAAAATATGAAATGATGAGTTTCTCAAGCACAAGTTAATTTAATTGAAAAGTGATCATTAATTATTGGAAAAGAAGTTGGATATTTAACTATGAGATTTGAAATAAATGTATATCAACAGAACACCATAATTTGAGGTGACACCACTGCATAATGATTCCATCTGGATGAATTACATTGATTGGAGTGTTTATTACAACATTTGGTCTAAATTGCCTATCAATTTACAAAGAGTGGGTAAAATGATTGGTATTCGTGACAGTTTCATTCTTGGAAAAATTCAAGGCAGACGAGCTACCGAAGCAGGCAATATGCAGGTATTCATTCATTCATTCAAAATTACTCATGTTAACATCAGGTAATCTTATTTGCACATAACTCATTTATGCTTAATGTTATTTACACTGTGTAACAGAATATCGATCGATGCAAAATATAAACTATAAAAACTTGAACAAATAATCGTTTCTTTTGAATTATTCATTGCATATCTTATTGATCATGGTGTTTTAATTAAACATTTACTTATTGCAATTATTGTAATTTGTACTTGACTTTTTATATTAATAAATATTTTATCTTCTCCCAGCATATCATAAAATCTTATATTGCGGTATTTTATTGATCACATGCTTATTGTTTGTAAATTTGTTTATTTAATAATTTTACAGGTGCATTTACGTTTTCTTTCTGCATTGGCACTTTTTGATTTAATAAGAGAGTGTCCACTCGGTGATGTTGCTCGACGTTTTCATATCAATCGTGGAGCTTTACAAACTTTACAACAACAATCAGCAACATATGCCTGTAAATTTTTCAGAATTTAAGATTAAATTTCTTTTCAATATTTTGAATTTTGAATTTCTAATGTATATTTTCAACCATTTTTTAATTTATATGAACCGTAATACAAGCATATTTATACAAAATTTCTCATTGACTAATAAATTGATACTGTCTTAATTAATATTGACAAATAACAATAGTAATAGTTGGAGACTGAATAAGAATAAGACATGATCCATTTTTACAAATCAATTTAGATCAAATTAAATTGTTCTTTCTTACTGCTTAATTAGATTATTTTATAGATATGAAAGAGAGAAATTAGTTTCTGCGGCTTTTCTTTGTTAATCATCAATTTTGATACAAACAGGCACTTAAGTATGAAAAATGAGGCTTCAAGTGCCTTCATTAAAACATTACGCGAATGAACTTAAATAGTATAAAATATACATCCTTCCCTAATTGCCTTTGTTATCATTAATAATCGTTGTTTAACTTTGTCATTCTTTTTCTCCTCTTTTCATCATATCTATCATAAATTTTGTCAGAAATTTCTAACCCCTTCAACTTCTAACCACCGTAATTCGGTCCCAATTTGGTGTAGTTAAAGCACAACTTTCCATACTAATTATTGTCTTTCTCTTTTCCTTCCTCTTTCTCTCTCTCTTTCTTCCCATCAAAACATCACTTTGTATTAGTATGGTAGAAGGATAGAAAAATTGGCTAAATTAGGGAATTTTATGTTTGTGATGACAGTTTTGCATGAATTTCAAATGGGGAGAAGACAAAATTACTTTTGGTTGTAACAAATTAGAATTACCAATCAAAATGTTGTAATCATCCGTAAAAAATGCGACAAATTGCGACAGCTAAGAAACATAAAATTAAATCATTAATGATTAATTATGAATAATTAATAATGATAATAATGATAACAATTATTAAAAAATATGAAATTAAAAACGATGGCACTGTAATAGCAACAAATATTTCTCTTCTTTCCTTATTTCTTATTTCCATTTATCTTTAACGTTATCTTCATTTTTATGTTTTCGTTTACTTATAAAGTACTGGAGTAAATCCATGATCACAAATTACAATTAAATTTTCAAAAATTTCAACTTTTGTATTCTAAATTGAAGACTTCAAAACTTCAATTTTTAAAATTACGATGATGCTTTAATGCTATCAGCGTCTTTGGTTTTGCCTAAGATTTTATTTTCATTTTTAAAATTAGACTATTTATAGATATGGTTGTGACATTTTGCGAAAAACTTGGCTGGATTTATTTACGAAGTGTATTAGATGGATTTTCCGAACGGTTAACATTTGGTGTCCGTAAGGATTTGACGGAATTGGTTCAAATTGAAGGAATTGACGGGAGAAGAGCTCGAGCTTTCCACAATGCTAACGTGACAACAGTTCCTGCATTAGCTACTACTTCAATTGACGATATTGCGAAAATTTTACGATCTGTGGTTCCCTATGTTAGGTTAGCATATCCAATTTAAGATATAGATTATATATGACTTTTAACAAAGAGCAGTGCAGAAATTAATTGCTTCAATTAACTGCCAATAATAGTGTAAAATGTTGTAAATCTTGTAGAAAGAAAGGAAGATGCAATATTTATCATATATAGGAAAATGGTTCACAAATAAACTAAGGCACTACCAATAAACGAGACTTTGTAGGATAACAATTGATAATGAATAGTTTAGAAAAATCAATAAAGTGTAAAGGAAGAAATCAAATAACCTTTTTTACAAATAATTCAGAAAAAGGATTTTAACAGAGATTTTTGACTAAAATGAAGTGATTCATTGTTTTGAATAATTCTGATAATTACTCAATTTGATTCAAAACCATTAAAATATCACTGATCCTGTTTCATTTTTTCATCCTGAATAAATAAATAAATTAAAATTAATACCTTCAATTCCTCCATAATTATATTTCTTTATAAACTGCTTATATAATTTTATACTTCTTAAATGCTTTAAAACGATAAGATGTAAATACTTTCATCCATATATTAGATTTGTATTAATCTATTTAAGATAACTTTTTGATCCAATTTGATTTAATCTAATCTTATTAACAAGCTAATGAATTGTTGATATTAATGTATCAATCAGACATAACTGCATACCTGGTTAAGATTTCTTTCTTTCATCCTTTCTCTCATTGTATATTAGTAATAAAACGCATAATAAAATCAGACTCTTCGAGAACTGTGATCGAAATTAGGAATGCAAAAGGAAGAGAATGAAATGATGTAAATCATCGATTATCCAAACTGAGCTGTTTCATTCACTAAATCACATACATATAAACAAGCAAAATTCATATATATAAAAGATACATGAGGACGCGTACATAAACATCACAAATTGATGAGCTTTTTAGCTGTCATCCATTTAATTAGTGGCAATTGGGCAACAGTTTAGTAGTGAAGTAGTAAAAAGAAGTCAATTTGGGATAATGGAAAGATAGAATGGACAAGCAGACGGCACCATACCATACCATACAATACAATACCAATTTGTTCAAGGCCAGACAAATGATTGAGATTAAATAGGAAGAGAAGATCTTTTGTTTAAAAAAAGATGCATGCCATCTTATATAGTTGTATCAAAATCTTACGCAATTTATGATAATGAACGGATTGAATAATGGAATAAAATCTGAGGAGAAGAATAAAGAAAAGGAAAGATTATAGTGGATGAAATAAATGAATGTTATTTAAATAATGAATGCTAATCGAGTGATATCATATCAAATGCATTAAAAATGAATATAAAAATTTTATTTGAAAAATTTCAATCGCAAAATGCATGAATCATTGGAAACATTTAATATTTATTATTAATAGTATAAGGATTATATTTGAAATAAACTGTCAAAAAAGTATCCAATTGAAATTTTTAAAATCAATTTTTAATTAATTACAGGCGTGATAACAATGAAGGATTGAATCGTTGGCTTGCTGGAGAAGGTTTAATGACAGATGTTGAAGCGGCTCAAATATTAATTCAACGTTCCCGTCTATATCTTCACTCTTCTATCAGGTTATTTCCTATTTTAACGTAAGTAATCATAATTCTGATAGCTAGTATATCTGAATATATCTGAACTTCTTAAGCATTTGCGGATTGTTAAGAGTTTAATATGCTATATAAATCGAATATAAACTGATTTCCAGTGTGGACTTCCAGCTTCGGAATTATTTCAATTTACCTACTGGTTCGACTTTCATTTGAATGCAAAAATGAATATTTTATCAAATTTTACTAAAATATACCATTTTGCTAAATTAGGAAAAGTATAAGGAGCGAACATTAAAAGAAACAATTGAATTTAATTCATTTATAAAAATTGGAATAAATGTAATTTTTTGTAGGAATTGATGAAATGAATGCTTCAGCAATTCATTCTTAAAGAGCATTATTTGCACCAACTAGACATAGAAAATCTCACAATGCATTTTACTCTCGATATGAAATAAAAGTGTTTGTTCATGAAATTATCAATATCGATGATTTTCACCTGAATTGATAAGACATTGAATTTTGACCAGCTAAATTTCGTTAATGAAATTATTTTTCTGGTATCTTCATCGATATTCTCTCGATCATTTGTACCACTGATCCACTTGCGTTGCTATTAGATGAACATGTCATGTGTGGAAATTCGGAAGATCAGTATTATTTTGCTGATTATTGAATTAACTTCTCGTAATTTTCACTAATTCTATTTCAGGGCTTTCGGCATATTCTCGGATACCAAGATTAATTCATTATTTTCTGCGGTGACATCAGTTTGTGAAACTAATCGTGATAGCTTGGGTGTCATAAGTGATAAATGCGATAATAGTATGGATCCTGATTCTCTGCTTTCAGATATTGAACTTACTTCACGTGATTTCTTTATGGTTAGCAAATTCTTCCAACGAAATTTTAGAAGTTTGAATAATTTAATTTTTTGTCAGAAAAAAGGTATTCTTGAATTAATAGGTTCGGTGAATGATTAAAGCAAATAACTTCTGTAAGTTACGCAAATAATCAACAAAGTATGTCTCAATTTTCATTCGAAATTTAAATTTTATAGTCTTGTCTCCCCTATTATAATTTATAGTACTTCTGAAGCAAAAAATTTATGAATTTATGAGCGCTTAATTCAATATATTCATGCATTTACCTAATTGTGTTTTAATCAAATGAAATTAGTAAAAAAATATGTTTCCTGTATAATTAATTAGAAATAATTAGAGTTTTTGTGAGATGAGGTTTGCTTCTCGAATGATCTTTTTCCATCAATAATTTGAAGATATTGTCATTTTGCAGCATGAAAATTTTCCAGTCACAAATACTTCTAAAAATTCGAAAGAACAGAGTATAACAAGCACTCAAAGTTTAACCCAACCATCAGAAATAATTGAAAAACGACCACCAAAAATGAAATTACCAGAAAATGATAAGTTGGAGGAGAAAATACCTGATCATCCAGCAACTAATCAAGAGAATCCGGTTATTCCGGATAGGTTAGACGTGGACAATGTTGAACAGCTATGCATGAATTTTGCCAATACTTCGATGTCGGATGAAACATTGTTACATTTTGGCTGTAGTCAGTATTCCCGTAAAATTGATCAAATTACTCAAGCATTAAATGCTATTACTGTTCTAGCTAAGAACGAGAAATCTGGTGAAATTAAATCAGAAAAGCACCAAGATGAATTTAGTAATTTAAAAATATTTGAATCGTTGGATATTTTTAATTCGAATTCTAACACAAATGAAATTCAAATGATTGCAACAACGACAGCAACATCAACAGCTATTCTTGGAATGCAAAATGATAATGTAGAGAATGATGATGAGAAGAGTTCTAAATTGATGAAATCGTTGATAAATCAATTAAACGAACCGTTATTAGCAACTGAATGTGTTATGTCACAACAAACAATTTTTGAAAGGATTGAAGAAGAAAAAGAAATTGTTGTAAATTCGGATGAAAGTATTGGAGATCGATCGATTTTTGATCGTAGTAAAGATTTGTTTGATCGAACATTTTGTTCATCGATTAGTTCGCAATCATTTAATACACCACAGAATTCATCATATTGCTTAAAACGTATTGGTCGACGATCTTCAATTAATCAATCGCCAAGATCACCGAGTTTCCAAAGTCCCTTGCATAAAATGTTGAAATTTGGATCATCTTTTACGAAATCAATGGAAAAAGAAATTAAATCTAATGAAAGTATTAAAAACGGTACTGAACACATCGACAGTAATCAAACAAGAATTACCGAATTTCAAATTATAGATGTTTGCGGGTACATTTATTTGTTTGGAAAGCAAAAATTGAATGCCTTACAAATTAACTTTGAATAATCAGTGTGCAATTTCAAAAAGCAATTGATAGAAATTATTGACGGAAATAATTAAATAAAAATTTTCAGATCCCGTACAACATGGGAGCAATTATTGATAAGGAGAAAGTATTGGAGTCAGATTGGTTTGGGTGTTGCTATGTGCAACAAAGATATAATTGGGATAGCTTTATGCGCATTAAATGAAGAATGTATTTATATTGATTTCAGGCCAAGTGAGTTGATTTCAATTTACATTATAACAAGTTGAGGTTTAATTTTAAAATTAAACCTTTCTGTTTTGATTTCAAATAAAGAGGAGTAATTAAAGATGATTGTTGTAGTAACTTTTTCTTTTCTTATACAATCTTTCTACCACCGCGTTAATTATTGATAATTTGATAGAGCAATGCTTTGTTTGAATGCATAATTTATTGTAATTGAATTATCTGACAACTCGTATATTTCATCAGTTATGGTTATGTGTTTTTCAGAAGGTATTTCTGAAATTGAAATCGATGAACGACTAGAAGCGTTGGATAATATACTAAAATCTAAACAGCAAAAATACATTTATGATTTGCTGTCATTTTCACGTTCGTTACGATATCTGCGAGGTGCAAACTGCCCAGTTTTGCTATTTAATCACTGTATTTGTGTACAAACACTTTCATACTTAGCCCATTATCGTACAGTAAATGATTCCGCACTTCTATTCCAGGTTTTATATTCCTCGAAATTGTTATCAAATAATAATCGTTTAATTAATTGTCTTTTGAAAAACCCATGTTTGGGTTTGTTTGTTTTTTCCAATCATTTTATAATACCTTGTGAGCACTTTATCCTCAATAAGACAGAATAAAAAATTATTTAAAAATTGATAAAAAACTCGATAAAACATTTTCAGATGAATTATTTATGATATCGAACCATTGCATTACATTATACGATCCTGTCCTGTACCTAAGCTTTTTATTTTTTTCCAGGATTTACTTTCACACCTTATTTCTCCGGAACGTGTGGTAATTTTAAGAAGTGCTACACCACGATTACGTGCAGCAATTAGCGCATTTATATGCTTGCATATGCATGACGATTTCATGTCTGCTGCTATACGATTATCCTCGGCTAAATCTGTGGAATTGGAATTGCAATCAGTTGTTTTGTTCAGTGAAATAGAAGCTACAGGTATACCTTTCGATGCAAATGAAGCTGAAATTTTGAATTCTAAGGTATCGCATGTTTTTGTTTTTTTTTTTAATTTTCTAAATTTTTTAAACTTAGATTTCTCTGAATCAAAGAAAAAATGAGAATATTGCATAATTTGAAAGAGAGATTATGCAGAAATTTTTGTTAAATCATGTTGAGAATTTTAGATCAAGCGAAAATTAACGGAAATTGAAACAAAAGCTTTTGATATTGCGGGAATTCCATTTAATTTTAGCTCAGCAGCGGAAATTTCTCAGGTATTAAATAGAGTTCACTCTTTTACTATTAGTAAAGGATATCAATGAAAATTTCTAGATTTAATTTATCATATCTAGAAAAACGAATGGATTTTTATGTTTGATACTGAATTTATCAAACATAAAAATTCATTAATGAATGAATGAATAAAAAATGTATGAGAATTTTCAAGTGATTTTATATTAAGATTCTTTTTGTACGCCTGCAAATTCCGCCACCAAATATATCTACTGCTCGACATTATTCGACGAACAAAATTGTTTTGCAGCAATTAGCTCCAAAGCATTCTATTATAAATTTAATTTTGGAGTGGAGACGAATGAATACCGCTTTAACGGTAAGTAAAAAGTGAGTAACAGTGTTGTCGGATGTTATTATAATCCATAGCACTAAAATCATGAATTATCACAACATCCGATGACACTGTTAACATTGCGCATGGATTGGTACTATTAACATCTTTAATTTTATTAGCATATGAATTTTATTAACATAAAATTCTTTCAAACTTTTTCAACTGCTATAAATATTTTTTCTTTTTTAATCGTTACAACCACTTTTTTAGACATCCTTGCCAGCACTTCTAAAATCATGTTGTCCTGATGGACGGATTCGTTCTAATTTTGTAATACATTGCTGCACTGGTCGCGTTCTAACAGTACATCCAAATGTGCAAAATGTGCAAAAAGATGTAATCATAGATGGTTTTTCCATTCGATCGCTGTTCATCGCTCCAAAAGGTTTGTAAATTATCGTTTCAAAAAGGAATTTAATTATATACGCAAACATGCACTACTTGTAGCGAAAATAGATTGCCTTGTTGGTATATGTGTGTGTGTGTGTGTGTGTGTGTGTGTGTGTNTGTGTGTGTGTGTGTGTGTGTGTGTGTGTGTATGTGTGGATAGTAGGGATCGTTTGACCGTTTATTAGAACTTCAAACTTGGTTAATTAAACCATGGCAATAATAAAAACACAATATTAAAACATGAAACAAGGAACGCAAAAAATAAACCAAACGCATAACCCGAAAGGAAGAAGAACGAATGA